CTTCCCCCAACATATTGTTCCCTGGTGTCTGGCATGGGAAAGAAAGCCTAATAGAATTTAAATAGACCTCATAGGGCTGCGGGTTGTGTGGTGTAGAAAGGAGCAGCAGGATGTAGGTGGTGGCCTCCAATTCTCTGGGTTCTGTATCTGGCCAAACTCTGCATCTGGTGTTTCCCAGGAAGTCTGGTGCCAATGTTGTACAATGCCACATCTGTTTTCAACAAATGTTTAAGCACCAACTTCCTTCATTCCTGGCATGGGAACCTGGCATCCAGTATTTCCAAAGTAGGTTTGAGATTTCAGCAAATTTGGGGTTAATGATCCCTTCTTTAACTTTTCTTTTTAGGAATCAAACTTTTATTTTGCTCTTTCACTATGTAGTTTTAAAATGTAGTTTAAACATAGGTTCTTTGCTACAAATTCATAGAAATAACCCATTTCAGTATCTCAATAAATATCATGAATTCTAATCAGAATGCTTAATATGGAATCATTGATGTGAATACTTTCAGGCATTATAAATAAAATGGAAATATTTTTGTCAGAAACAAATTCTATGTTTAGAACAAATGAAAGGATTGTAAAACCTTAATTTGTATTATTTCTTCATTCAATTTTTATAACAATGTATGTATAAGAGAGATACTGTTTTTGCGTAAATGAAGAACTTGAGGTCTTGATAAACTATATAACTTGCTGGTAGTCATACAGCCAGTAAATGGCTCAGCCAAGATTCTCCCCCAGGTCCAACTCCCAAGGCCTACCAGCCATTGCCACCTTCACAAATATCCACGTACTCTGCCAAGTCTGGCCACTGTCACAGTAGTAACATGGGTGAGATTCATGCTTTCTGAGCTCCTACTTTCTATGACAGCAAATTAAGTGTAAATATTGTTTACTTCAGAATCTGTTTTTAGCATTGTTTTATGTAATTATATTCTACCCACTGAATTTTTATGCCATTGTTTATTCCAGCCCCATTTATAGCATTTTAAAGGTTGAAACTTTGGCTTATTCCTGAGTTGTGCCTACTTTTTAAAATGAGAATAGTGCTGACAATTGGATTGTAGCTAGCAGGTAATTTATTTTTAATTTTAATTTATTTTTAATTTTCTTGACAGTTTAACATTCACATTCCATCTCATTTTTTGAAGTTTATATATGCCTGCTAGTTATTTTTAAACATGTATTTTCTTGCTACTGTCTTTTTAATAGGTAAGTTTTCTTGGCTTCAACAGAACTTTCCAGAGGTAGAAAATAACATGAACAGTAGCTAACTAGGACTGTATGTAGGACTTACTGGGTGCCAGGCATTCTTTGAAGCATTTTTACATACATTTAATCCTTACCAGATTGATGTGGTAGGTACTACATATAGTTTTCTCCATTTTGCAAATGATGCGAGAGGCAGACTTGGTCAGTCTGGTTTGGATTTCGTCATTTGTCCAGTGGAGTGTCACCTCTTTTAGAAAGCTTCATGTGAACACAGCTCTCTTTTTTTCTGGGCTGGACACAATGCTTACCCTACAGCCATGCATTTTTCTTTGCACTTAATACAATTCTCTCTCATTCCTGACTATAAGCTTCCCCATGGAGAAAGCTTACCCCAAGGAGGGTACCCAGTCTTATGCTTTTGTGCAGACCCACGACTTAACACACTTTCTGGCACTAAGTACTTAATAAACACTGTTTTGTCAGGACAGATATCCCCGTTTTAAAAAAATGGCTCTATCTGCTTTGCCTTCACAGAATTATTCACAAAATCAAGTTAGTTAATAGCTGTAAGCTTCAGAGCACTACACAAATAGATATCAAACCAGTTGTGCAGAACACTCTAGGCTTAATGAAGTCTGATGCTTTTAAAGTCTCTAGACATTATCACAGGGGTTGACACCCGAGGCAAAGAGGGTCTTGAGAGTACAATCTGTCACTGTGTTCTGGCCAGCCTGTTTTTAACCAGTAGTCTTAGTGACTTTAAATGGCTTTTTGGTTTTTGTACTCTTGTTTGCATGCTTTTCTTACTTTACAGAAGGCAGAGAGAAGCGTTTGTGTCCTGGTATTAAATATTGCGGATTCATACTGTCTAGATTCTACAGCTGGTTCTGCTACCTGATTCAGTGTTTCTCAATATTAGCTGCGTATGAGAATCACAGGATTGTACTTTTGTTTTTTAACTAAAGTTCTTAAATTCTGCTGATTCACAGAATCAGAATCTCAGGGTGGAAGGGAGAGATCAACACAGGTAATTCTGATGAGCATCAAGGAATCAGACATATTCTAAATATGTTCTAGATACTTTTGGAAAAGATGGCTTGATGTCACCACAAATATTTTTAATAAGAAACACAATTGTTTCATACTTAATAGCTCTCGAGAGCACTGACATTTATTTTGTTACTCTGCTGTACATTTTATAGTCCATTTGTGCCGGTGAGTTCAGTGGATATTCTAATTACTCAAACCATATGGCCATGGCAAGCAGCTAATAAATGTGTTACAATTATTTCCCAGGCTTAAAAAATTATCTTTGCCTTTCTTGGGAGAAATATTCGGGTCTTAGACTGAGCCTTGCTTTGTTTTTAGCAGAAATTGCAGCTTTATATATTTCATGCAGACATCTCACGACTTGCTTATTGAAATGAGGGTCCATCTATTCAGGCTGGAGCCTTGATGAGGGCCATCAGTTTCCATAAAACATTGTCAATCTTACCATCTGCTAGTCTGATGGCCCGAGTATGTAGCTCTGCCTTTGGTAACCAACAGTACCCACAAGTGAGGCCCACATCAGAGAATATAACCAGGAGTGGTCTGATACCCAGCTCTTGTCAAAACCTTCATTACAGAGAATTGTTTGAAGAGGATGCAGTCCTTTTTTATTCTAGAGTTATCCTTGTATCAAGGTAGGCCATCAGGAAGCTGCTTTAAAATAAACTACCTTGCTACCCCTACTTTATTACCTTATTTATGAAAGAGAGCTTGAGTGTTGCTAGTCACATGCATTGGGACTTTCTCCAGAGCTATATTATTCAATAGGAACACTGGTGTGGATAATTGAGATTTTTTTTAAATTTAATAACATCAATATGCTGAAACTTACTAAAATGGGGCAGATTGGAAACGTTTGATTCCCCTCTTTCATATAGATCACGCTAAGTACTATTTTTTGTTAAGTGGTCTTATTATATAATGGGAAAATGTATCAGACTTCTGATTATCTTATAACATTTAGCATGTCTCTGCATCTTTTATATTATTGACTTGTCATTTCTGGCTTGTTTCTCCTTACAAAATGAGCCATTTGTTTTTCATCAGAAGAAAATAACATTCCGTTGATGATTTATTTTATAAAGGAGTCAGTTTCCTCATTTTAACTAAAAACTTATAAAAACATTAAAAAAATTTAAAAATGAAGAGGGGCTCTTCTGCAGCTTTTTGATGGAACTCGGGATGCCTTTATAAGTAGGAGAGATTTGCTATAACATTATTTGACTTATTTTACCAGTAAGGAATGCATTAGTATCAAATCATAAAAACCTGAAGAATAGCTTAGATAGATAGGGCTTCATCTGTTTTAACAAACTTCTTGGTTTAGCCAGTGGAGAGCTATTGCCACCAGGAACAAGGGTCTTCCTATTTTTTTTTTACTCTGTCATGCTTAGAGCGGTGAGAATTTGTCCTCGGGCTTTTCATTTCAAGGATATTGACATTCTAACATGGCTCCTGGGCTTCTAGGTGTTACTCCCCAGGAAGATGGAAAGGCAAGGGGTGAAGGTCTTTCTTCTTCCAAGATTTGTCCCTCTGCCTGTGCCACCCTGGCACACACACAGGCTGGGATTTATTTATGTTTTATTGACCCAAACTATGATTTACAGCCCCTCTGAACTGCAACGGAGACAGGAACATCGTACTTTCACTTTTAGCCCGTCTAGCAGGAGAGGCAAAGAAAGGCCTGTGAATTGTTTCTTTCACAGTCTCTGCTGAAACTGTCCTTATTGAAAATGGACCAATAGTTTTTGTACTCTGTTTAGTATGGCTCCTTTTTCCTCCTCATAATTTAAATTAGGAAATCAGACGCACTTAATCTGAACCTGTTCACATAGATAATTCATTTTTTGAGGTATAGATTATATTTTTTAAAATATTGAGATTATTCAATAAATTCCCAAACCCTTATGACTACATAATATATTCCAAACTTCAGTGTTTTTGGAAGGAAGATTTTGTAGCCTTTGAACAGTTCCTAATTTTGGTGGAGCAAGCTAAACATAGCTCCTGTAGGTGTTGAACAAATGACAATTTTCATACCAACATAGCATTAGAGGAACTTTTTAAATATCTAATTGAAGAAAAGGGAAAGTAATAAAATATTGGAAATGAGATAAAATTATAAATCAAGTAATGCTTTTGTTTGAGTGTGCAAGGAGAAGGAAAACGTGACAGAGCAGAGGTAACCCCATCTGGTAAAACAGAGCAGTCAGCTTGGCTCTCAGTCCCTTTCTACCATACGCTCTTAGCTGTACCTGCCATGTAACCTTATCTCTTTGGTCCTTAGTTTCATCTTTTTATATAAATAGTAATTATACCAACCTCACAGTGTCATTTGGCTTCCTTGCCTAGAAAATTGGGCATATGGTAAGGGTTAGTTAACTGTTAGTTTCCTTTTCTGCATAGATAAAGATAGAAAAGTACCTAACTTTTGAAATCAAGGCATGCATGTAGTTCAAAATCTATGTCCCACTCAATTTATGGTTCATGTGAAAGAAACTAATAGTTCAAGAGCCCAACTGTCAAGGCTAGAATGGCACTGTCTTCTCATGTACTGAAGATGACTACCTAATATAAGAAAATAACTTTCAAGCCATTTTTTAATGGATTGTTTCATTCCGTTTACATATGTGAAGTAAAATTTAGTACGACTTACAGGATTTTAGAAAATATCATTGTACTTTCAAAATCCCTATTTTTGTTTCTTTATAATTTTTTGTTTTTCTCCAAACTAGGATTTTAAGAGTGGACTTGGTATTACCATAATTCCTATGAATGTAGCAAATGTAAAGCAAGTGGACCGAACTGTGAAACAATCTTTTGAGATAATCACTCCCTATAGGAGTTTCAGGTAGGTTATATTTAACCATTTTTGTGTTTGTATTGCTACAGGAAAGCATAGGTGATCCACTTTTATGTTGCTAGTGCTGACTTAATTTCTTACAGGGCACTTAATAAAATTATGTTCTTTTGCCTATTGTCTAATTTATTAGCCACTACATAAAAATACCTTGTAAAAGTGACTTGAACAACCAGCAGAGATACTAATTTCATGAGATTTGAGTAGTTTCTTAATTCCTCTTTTTCTTAGAGGGCTTAGTGAGTATGTTAATTTTTTAATTAATAAACATATAAAAAGTTCCTTCACATTTTGAAGAGAAAATATTACATTGTCTTTAAACTGTATTGTTATTTACCTTCTTTTAGCCTAATCAAATATAATCCCTCTTTAAGATCAATCCCAAATTACAGTTGCTCCACAATAATTTCCTAAAAGGAACTCCAACTTCAAATGATGCTGATGGATCTTATAGCAGCCATTGATATAATATTTTATCATTTCATCATAGATCTTGTATTATGATATTCTAGGAACTGCTTCCTTATTATAATGAAAAATAAATCTTAGACTTCTCAATATGTTTTTATAACCTATAAAGACTCCATAGCTTTCATACACAGGAGAGGCATAAGTCAGTATCTGTTGAGTTCAACCACATTAATTCATTTGTAACAATCAACATACCAGAGGGTAGTAAGCAGATCAGAGAATTTCAGAGGTCTTTGAAGGACTGTACAACTTCAAAAACACTACTAAGTCTAGGGCTCATTTTATTTGTCAAATTATATCTACTTGGCTCAAATTTTGAGGAGGAAATAATCACATACAGAATAACAAGCTTAATTTTCATGTTACGGGTTGAATTTTTTCTCCTCGGTTTTTGACCTGCCACCACAAAGGCAGTGCAGGTCCTCTGTATAGTCCTGCCTCCCAGTGAGCATGTCCTTTCCCCACGCTCAGGTGTGATCTGGGCAGTTCTAGTCCCATTGATAGTGCCTCTGTTGAGATCTGGTTGGGAAGGAAGTTCTCTCCCTGCAAAGCCTTTGTTGTCTTCATACGGGACCCCTGACCTGGGCAGAGTGTGGGCAGCGTTCTCTTTGAACCTTGTCTTCCCCCTTTCCCAGCTGCTCATGTCTATCTTTCTACCTAATATTCACATACGCAGATTCAAGACTCAACTGAAAATGTAGACATTGGTTGAGCTGTGTTTACTCAACACTTCTACACCAACTGTGTGGGATTTTTCCTTATAGCAACCGATTCTCCAACTCTCCGGACACCAACTGGGTGTTCAGGAGTTCAGTCCTGTTCTGACAACAGTTACCCAGAGAGAGCATCAGACCCCACAAGTTTAAGATTTAAGAACCCACAGAAGTGCTCCGTCACTTGAGATGCCAGTTGCAAATATTGGGCCCCCAGGTTAACCACACTTCTGCTCAAAATGGCTGCAAATTGAGGTTCCCCCAACTCCTACTCAATAATTTGTTCCGTTTGTACAATAATGGCTCATAGAACTCAGAAAGACAGTTTAATTATTACTACCAGTTTATTATAAAGAATGCAACTCAGGAACAGCCAAATTGGAGTGCTGCATAGGGCATGGTATGGGAAATTAGTTATACAGAGCTTCTGTGCCTCTCTGGGTACATCACTATCCCGACATTTAAGTCTCTGAACCCAGGTGTTTAGGGATTTTTATGGGAGTTTCATTCCATAGGCATAATTGATTAAATCCTTGGTCATTCTTGATTGGGGCTTAATTACCAGCCCCCCTACCACCCCTAGAGGCCCGGGGGTGGGGCTGAAGGTTCTAGTCCTCTGATGGTTGCTGGCTTTTCTGGCGACCAGCCCCCACCCTGAGGCTGTTTAGGCTCTAGCTGTGACTTACCTCAGTACACAAAAGGCACTTTTACCAGGATATTCCAGGAGTTTTAGGAGCTGTCTTCCAGGAACCAGGAACAAATAAAAAGTGTCTATTTTCCATTGTATCATATTGGTTCTATGTAAAACTAGTGTTAACCTTAAAATTAAAATAGTTATCTTACTAGCAAAAACAGGTTTATCCAGGAGTAGCAAAGAATTGCCATCCAGGACAAGCAAACTCTAGCAGGACCTTAGGCATGTCCAAGGAACAAAGGTGAGCAACACTCTTTTATGGAGGAAGGGGCTGAGCTGGGAGGCCTGTTCTGAGCAGAAGGTCCACTGGAGTAAACTGGGAGTCCCATGTATTGTGGCTTCTCATTGGCTGAATCGTAAGCCTTCTGCTGGCTGTCGCTACAGAGAGGTGGAAGGTAAAAGCCTTCTTCCTGCTGGGTAGGAAAGTAGCTAAAACAGTATGGCATCCATCTCTTTTGATGGGAACAAGATTTTATGAGGAGTGGTGGGCATGAGAACTTCTCCTGCAGGTCTCCCGACATCATGTCCACGAACATAGAAATAGTAGTTACAATACAGGGTGATAAGGGCAAGACTAGAACTGAATTCATGTCAGTGAGGTTTCCCCTAATTAATTTCCACAGTAGAAGCCACTAAGAAGTTTATGAATATTACAGTGATGTTGGAACCATTAAGTGTCTCAAAAATTATAATCCCTATAGGTCACTCAGTTTCCTTATGAGTTATTTAGAGTATGTTAGTCATCTTTTATATTCATTATGTTTCAAAGTATTTTCATCTTCAGAACAAAAAATTTTAATGTGAAGCATGATTTTGTGGGTCATTGACTCTGGAACATTGTAGCGTATTTCCTAGCACATTGTAGAAACTCAGTAAATATTTCTTGAAGGAGTGAGCTGATGTTTAATGTTTTATCTCTTTACGCACCCAATAAACACTAAATAAATCAGAAAGAACATGAACATAACTAAAAATGAGTTAGAATTCTGTTAGAATAGTAGTTACTGAAAACTTTTCTGTTTTCTCAGTTTCTTAAAGCCATCTGGGCATTCTTCTAATTAGAAAAAAAAAGGAATATTTTTAAGACTGAAAAAAATGAAAATTTCTGGTGGGTGTTTTTGATAACTTCATTTCAGACTATCATGACATACTTTCTTGGTAAAATAATCCAATTGTTCTGAAACTCTCCCAGTCTCTTATTGATTATTATATAACCACTGCTTAGGAAGCATGACCTCTCATTTAAGCTTTTGACCTAACAAGGCAATTTTTATATCCTGGTCAGAAAAATGTGTGTGTTACTTTTGATCCAAGATATGCAAACAAAGTCATCAGCAAAGTGGAGGGTTAAAGGAAAGACAGATTTTTAAAGTAGATGATTTTTAATAGAAAAGATTATCTAACTGCCTGGAAGGCATATTTTTCAGCTGCTGTTTAATTTGTGAGTGAAATGAATATGCAAACTGAGCATACTGCTTAATTGGCCTTTACAAGGGAGATCGATAATGCAGAAATGTTAATTGTTTCAGCTTTACAGCAGAGTCTGAAAAAGAGAAACAAGAGTGGATTGAAGCTGTGCAACAATCGATAGCGGAAACTCTCTCTGATTATGAAGTAGCCGAGAAGATTTGGTTCAATGAGTCCAACAGGAGCTGTGCAGATTGTAAAGCCCCAGATCCTGACTGGGCATCCATCAATCTCTGTGTTGTCATCTGTAAGAAGTGTGCAGGTAATTAGTGATAAGTTATGCTCATCCCTGTTTGGTGGCAGATTGGCACTGAAAGCTCTTTATTGTCACACATAATGTGTCCCAGCTAATGGTCTTGAAAAATGAAAGCGGAAAGCTTATTACACTTAAATCAAATTTAGAAATATTTTACAATTCTAAACTTCTCTTATGCATGCCTTAGATGTAAAAATAGATTTTTAAGCATGTTATTTTTTGTGCCTACTGGTCCATGTGTACATTTTAAAAAGACAGTGTTGAAATTTTTAGATTTTAGGGAGAATGTTTCAGAATGCACCCTGAACACACTTGCATCTTTGCATGATTTGTTCATTTTTTCCCCAGTCATTAGTAAGACTTATTTTTCATATCAAGTTTGTACTGGGGTTTAGACCTGATATACCAGATCTTGTATCTCTTTTCATGAGTTTTTACAAAGAAGCATGTCCTGGGTGTATGGACATTTATGAAAGTAACCAGTACTATGACTGGTTTTCTTACTGTGACCTTACAACTTACAGACTGACAGCTCAGTGTATTTGGGAGTTCAGATAGTTGTTCAGGTGAGTGGAGGGAATGGACCCCAGCGCAAGTATGTGACCACAGAGGGCTTGCAGAACGTTAGGCACAACCTAAACTTTATAACAGTTTTCCTGCTCTACCAGGTAACTGTACTGGTCCTGGGAAATTAAAAAGATGTATAATAAGACACAACATGTCCTCCACAAACATAGAAATAGTAGTTACAATACAGTGTGATAAGGGCAAGACTAGAACTGAGTTCAGGTTTCATTGAGAGAACCCAGAGGAGTACCTCAGCTGGAGCAAATACAAGGACAGTTGCTTTAAACCCCTAGTACTTTTCTGGAGCTCTGTGCTGCCACATTGCTCATCACCCTGATGCATTTTCATGTGAGCTGATTAACAAATCAGTAGCAAGAACAAAAAGCATCAGCTAATCCTCCTCTACTTTGTGTTTTTCCCCAGACTTTTTTCTCTTCTCCAGTCTCACTGGGAGAGAGAGCCTGTGTGATGTCCAAGGCTATTCTTTCCCACTACTTTATATAAGAGAGTTGCTTTTGTTTCAGCATGTAAATTTGCATAAGTCTGTCCTGTTAACACCAGCTTTTTGAAAACTTCCATTCCAGACACAATTCTTTCAAGAGTGGAAGTCCACATGGGTTTTCTTCATTTCTTTACTGTCCTAGTTTTTCTTCAGCATCCTATAATCAGCCTTCTTTTCTCTCTACTCCAATAAGAATACTTTCACCACATTCCAATGTATTTTACCTCCATTTCTGTGGGGTCAGATCCAATCTTTATTGTCTTCTTTGCAGTACTTGACGCTCTTGACCATTTTCTCTGTGACCCCCTATCTTCCCTCAACTTCCAAGGTACCATTTTTTCTTAAGTTAAAAAGAAATATACATACATACATGTACACATCGATACACTTTTTTTTTTACAATAGAAAATACATTTACACACAAATTAACATAAAAACACAACTGTTTTTTGACTTCAGGACAACACAGATCTTTGGGACCCAAAGATTCCAAAGTCAGAAGCCTAAAAATGGATGCCAGCATTTGGAGTAACGAACTCATCGAGGTAAGTCCGGCTTCACCGTGGCAGTTCCTAGTGGAAGGAGGTGAGCAGTAGGGTGTCATGAGTTACCTTAGGAGCTCTTCAATAAAGTTCTCCCCACATTATAAAAATGGCTGACAGCCTGTTTGATAACAGTAACTTTCTACTTCAACTTTGAGAATGCTTCCTGCATGAGATAGTTATTTTAAAAATAAAAACTGCGAACAAGTAGCTTTAATAGTAACAACTACTTTTTAAAGGCTTGACAGCTTTTTTTTTTTTAAGCCAAAATTTACTTTCTTTCTTTTTAACTCAGCATGGATGAAATACCAGAAAAGTGAATGCAAACATTTGGCAAAATTTCCTGTTCTTTATTTTGGCCCTACTCTTTCATTAACTGAGATCATATCTAACTTGCTATCTTCCATTTCCATTGCTTTCTCAGATTTCAGTACCACTCTCAGCCGCATTAGCCCACCTACTCAGCCATTTTAAATGAATCTGTCTCACTGTGAGCTTCAGAAAATAATGCTTTTGCTGCAATTTGGGTTGCTTGCAATTTCTTTCCTAGCTAATCTTGTACCATTATTAAGAGCAGCTAGGCTATATTTAAAATAGAAATAGTATCTGCTCTCACATTCCCTCTTCCAGAAGAAGCTGGGCCTTTCATGTGTTTTTGCATATTTTATACTGTTATGTTTTAACTTTAATGTGAGTCAGTGTTCTGAAGATTAAAGTACATTTTATGAACCGATACTATTTTATAATATTTTGACACTTCAGCTTTTTATTGTCATTGGAAACAAAAGAGCAAATGATTTTTGGGCTGGTAATCTTCAAAAAGATGAAGAATTATATATGGACTCGCCAGTAGAAAAGAGAAAAAATTTCATCACACTGAAGTACAAAGAAGGAAGATTCAGAAAGACCCTTTTGGCATCTCTTACCAAAGAAGAATTAAATAAGGTATCCTATACAACATAATAATAGATGTGAATCTTAATGTCTTTTTAAATATGTGCCAAGGATTTTAAAAGAAGTTAAAGTATCTTTTACTATTTGATAGTAAGAATAGCAAAGGTTTTAAAAAGAAATTTTAAAAATATTTTAGTATCTGATAAAATCATTGCTTAATTTTATTTCCTTTTATGAGTTATGCCAATGGCTTTACTTAAAAATTCATTATCAATACTTAATAAACTCTTTGTCCCTAACTAAAGTTTCCAGGTAACTTATGCCTACCCCATTATTCTTAAAACTTCAACAACTTTCCTTTTCTGGCGATAGAATACCAAACATTAACTTCAACTTGTACATTGCTGATGTGAAGTCACCAAAATTAACATCATTTGCTCCATTAATTTATTGTTACAGCAAAGGTTTGCTTACTGCTACTGATTTGGAGTATCATTTACCATTGGCTGATTGATTCCAGATTTTCTTGTGCTATTTTATGCTGTCCAGTTGACCTTCATCCTTTTGGTGAAGGGTTTTTTTAAGCATCCTGCTCCCCCCCTTTTTTTTAATTGTTGCTTCAATTTCTTGTGTGTTAGGAGGCTTCTATCTGTAGCTATTTAACACATGTATTTTGTATGCCTATTGCTTAGAGATGTATTTTGTATGCCTGTTGCTTAGAGATGTTTTTGTATGCCTAGAGAATATATTCTTTCATGATCCTCCATTCTTTAATATACTTTTAATGGCAATACTTATTGGATAAGGATCTTAGGTAAGTAGCATTTTGCTGAACATCTTAGAAGATAAATCCCTTTTCCATACTTCTCCAAAAACTACAAGATGATACAAGTGACTTAGATTTCTTTTGGTTTAGTGCCCCTAAGCCAAGTTTTTCTTCTTTGTACATTTTTGATTTTGGTAAAGGGAGGATGGATATCATGTGATTTTAAAGCAGTGGCATGCAATAAATGCAAGATTCATGATGGCTACTTAAGGTAGAGAGAGTCAGGGAAATAGGGATGGTGGATAGGGAACCATATATTTACATAGGGTATTATTAAAAACATTTGTTTTGGATGGTGTTTTCATGGGTGCTATTACATTATCAAAATAGCAGACCAGGTATACCAGACATGCATGAAATAATGATGACAGTATAATAAATAAAGGATTATGATTAATTCTTGGATTAGAGGCTCATACACACCAATAAATATGGCAAATGAAGGAAAACAGTAGGGTGATGAAAAAGAATAAAATGAAATACACGTGATTAAATGGGAAGGCAGTTAAAGCTATTGTAGCCAAATTCAGAAAGACCCTTTTGGCATCTCTTACCAAAGAAGAATTAAATAAGCTATCCTATAAAACATAATAATAGATGTGGATCTTAATGTCTTTTTAAATATGTGCCAAGGATTTTGAAAAGAAGTTAAAGCATCTTCAACTATTTGATAGTAAGAATAGCAAGGGTTTTAAAAAGAAATTTTAAAAATATTTTACTATCTAATAAAATCATTGCTTAATTTTATTTCTTTTTATGAGTTATGTTAGCTGTTACCTTTTCCAACACCTTCATTTTACAGATGAGGAAAAAATAAGACCCAGGAGGAGAAGGGATTGCCTAAAATCACCTAGCAAATTAGTACAAAGTCAGGTACAAGAATTCAGCTTCTTGGTTCTGACACAAAAGAAACTGGAGATGAGCTAGGCTATGACAGAGAAGAGAAGTACTTTCAACAGTTGACTCTCCAGGGCTGGAGCTGTGAAAGCATCCTGGGACTTCTTGGCTGTACACTGTCAAATGCCTATTGGGATATTTAATGAACAATTGTTCTGAAATTGCATTATGAAGGACAGATTGACCAGGGATCCATCCAGGTGCACCATGTCAGGAGTGGGTAAGGTGTTGAGGCCAAGGCTAAAGAGTCAGATGAAATCAGAGTGCCAAAATTAGCGTTTGGAAGCCAATGTGAAGTCAATAAAGTGAGGAAGAAGTTAGAGGATGAGAGGTTATTACTTCAAGAAAAAGAGAAAAAAAGTGAAGCTTTTGTTTGTATAGTGATGGTTTATAACACAAGTCAATAATGTTTTATTGCTTTTCTCCTCCCCACCCATAGCCCTAAAAAGGAAAGAGCCTGAACTTGCTTTGCAGTCATCTTTTAAATTCTCAAGGCACAATAGTTTAAGGATTGTTCAGAACCTGATTAAGCTGGAAAATACATACATACATATACAACATTCATATGACAAAAGATTTAGTGGATACTTTGTTATTACATTTGAAATGTTTTGAATTTTCAGCTGGTGTCATAGTATGCAAGCATAAAAAAATGTCTTTGTAAACAAATACGAAGGGGTAGAAGATTGGGAACATCGCAGCTCAAAGCATTGAACAGGTTGTAATTTAAATTCATACGAAGTGGACCTCTTGAGCCTATTGCTTAATTCAGGGCATAATTATTATTAGCCTTCTTAGTTAAAAAGGAATATAAACTTCATCTTGTAAATGGTTTGGTAGACTTTCACTCATTTAATAGCTAGAATTGTATTCTCTTCCTTTGAAACGTGTTTTTTCTTTTAACAACCAGGCTCTGTGTGCTGCTGTAGTAAAACCAGATGTTTTGGAAACAATGGCTTTGCTGTTCAGCGGAGCAGATGTTATGTGTGCTACTGGGGACCCTGTGCATAGCACCCCCTATCTACTGGCCAAGAAAGCTGGGCAGAGTCTGCAGATGGAATTTCTCTACCATAACAAATTCTCAGGTTAGCCCCTGTACCTGTATTAGCCTGGTCTCTTCTGATATATTTGTAAGAAAACTGAGACACAAATCTATTTATTGTTCAAGTAAGAAAAAAACTGTCCTAATGAAGAAAAATATAATTACCAAAAAGTTGGAAGATGCTTAAGACAATATATCATTTTAAGAAAAAGTTTAGGAAATAAATCTTTTTATGTTTCTTCAATTTTATAAATGGAAGATTAAAATAGTTAACCCAACATAATCATCACCAAAATTAAATCTGATTTTCATATGTGTTAATAAAAACAACTTAAGTGCTTATTTTCAGATTTTGTACAAAGGAAAATAAGTATCTCAGTACATTTATTCTGGTAAATTCAAAATAGCTTTTCTTCTAGTTAAAAACTCAGGCATTTATAAGCAAAGGAAAAATTATTTATACCTCAGATTTCAGACGCATCGTTTCTATAATTTTTCTAGATTTCCCTCAACATGACACTCATTCTGAAGGTGGATTAAGTCAGGAGCCCACCCAGTCCACATTCCTGTGTGACTTTCTGTATCAGGCTCCTGCTGCTGCTTCTAAACTCGCTTCAGAGAGAAAACTCCTTGAAGGTATCTTTTCTGCTCCATTTAGATTGTGTTATCTGATAAAACTTTATTTCATTATCAAAACAATTAGGTTTGCATTTTGATCTTTTTTCCCTTAAGATGTTAGATTTCATCTTGCAGTAGAGAAATATTTTTTGAGGATTTTTAAATGCTTCAAGGCACAGATACTGTTTCATGCACCTCAGCAGGGGTTCACCACTGGGCTGGAATGCTGAGTGAATTCTCAACAGAATTCACTGATGTCTTCCTGAGGGCCAACCAATGGTGTTTCAGGATGTAAACAGCCGCTCTCCTTAGGGACACACATGAACTGGGGAGATGCAGGTAAATGTCAACACATAGGAAGAACTGACCAGTTTTGGGTATCTTTTCTATACGAATACTGATATCAGAAGTTCAGTTTGTTCTGAGGATATGTGTGTATAAATAAAGTTTAAGCATAGTTTCAAAAAAAATGATAGGAATTAATGTGATTTAACAACTTAGTCTACATTTGGGGAATTAATCTGAGTCACAGGAAGCATGCATCCACCTGTCCATCCAGCTCCTGTGTCAAGCATGTACTAAAACATTAGGAATATAAAAATGAATAAGAAACAGGCCTCATGCTCCAGTTGCATACATATGAACTAATTTGAGAAATATCAGCAGTAAAAGATAATGAGATCTGTTTTACAAGAACAAAGAGAATTTAAGAGAGATTAAGCTGTATGGGCCATTTGATGTGGGCATTCAGAGTTTCAGACGCCTGGTACTAATTTCCTAGGTTATTATGTTAGGGATATAATCCAGCTATATTACTGGATCAAAGGGACAGGAGGGTGAAAAACTCACTTTAAAGTATTAACCCTAATCTTTGTGCATTTGGAGTGATTATGTTAGTATAAATCCTTTATGCCCACCAAAATTACATCTCTAAGGAGAATTATATTGGGATTAACAATAGTTGATTAGATTTTCCTGAAAACAGTAGCTATCCTTTAGTGAGCATGTGCTATGGTTATAGTATTGCTTTAGGCACTTTACATACATTGATTGTAATTTTCATAAAAACTTCAGGTTAATTAATACTATGCTGATTTTGACATGGAAACTGGAGGAGCTCAGAATGAAATAGAATTTTATATCTGATCATGTTATGATTGTGATTGTATTATTTTGCCCTTAGTCAAAGCGTGATGGCCAGGTCACACTAGAATGGCAGAACATTTTGTCATTTAGTTTAGATGTTTTCGGTTCCTTCAGCAATTGTTTTTTAATGTCGTCCTTTACTCAACCTAACCAATAATAAATAACAAACTTTATGAGATTTTCTCATCTTCTCTTGCACCTTATCAGTAGTTAGCCCTTAAGTAGTTGAAAGTTGACCAATCAGAAGGAGGAAAAAAGTACCTAAATAATCTGTGAATTGACTATAGTAATTACTAAGGTAATTGAATTAATGTACTTAGAATAAGTTTTTAAATTTTCTAGAATGTTTCTTCTAAATAGTAGGAGATCTTAGACTCACCCTTCAAACCCCTTATACAAAGATGAAATAGGGAATTTGAAATGTAATATTTTCTTCCTAAGGTTTTTCAACATATCATAGGCATTCTGAGGGCTAAAAGTAAGCTTTTATTTATTTTTTGGCAATTTTGATTATAATATTTATAGTTATCAGTTTGTTTTAATACTTCCTTGAAATAGATTGCTTTTCTTAATCACTTGAGGACTAAATTGATATTTTAGCTTATAATTGAATCATTCTTTCCTTTTATCTTTTATAATTAATTAGGGATTTTTTTTGGTTAAAATTGATTTCAAAAAACAGAAACTAATGCATTCCCTCTATAATTTAATTAGGAATTTTTTCTCATTCTGGAACATCCTTTTTTAAGTAATACGAAATTGAACTTTTGTACTTTGGCTATGCAGCCTACCAGGAATGATTTCATTGGAAAATAGTCTCCTGCCAACGTATTCTTGCATGATCTTCATTTTTTCCATCCAGGTTGTCAACAAGTTCTATCATTTCAAACAGAAATTTGATCCTGAATCATTTGGCTGCTCTTCATCTCTGCCTGATACCATACTAGTCCCCACCACCATCATGTCCTGCCTCGGCTGTAGTAGCCTCCTTAGTTGTCTGCCAATATCTGCCCTAGCTTTCCTCCAAACCATTCTCCAAAAAGCAGACTTAATGATTATTAAGAATGTAAATAAGATAAGGTGTTTCCATTGTTTGTATATATTCAGCAGCTTCTCATTCTAGAATACAGCTCTCTTCCTTATTCTGACCTGTCAGACCTTCTCATACCCTCACTCCTCCATTGTATGCTGTTCCTCCCTATGCTCACATGACTGGCCACCCTGGTTTCTTCTCCATTCCTGCAACATGCCACATTCTTTTCTGCCTCTTCTAGACCTTTGCAATTGCTGATCACCTTGCAAGGAGGTCACTTCTCGGAGTCTGGCTCCTTCTTATCTTTTAGGGATCTCTGTCCAAAGCTACTTAGTCAGAGAAACTGCTCGGCAGCCTCCTATAGTGTGTTCCACTACCAGCTTTTCCCTTTCATAGGACATTGTTCATTTCTGTGACAGCATTTATCACATGAAGTTGATCCCTCCTTCATTGATTTGTTTCTTCCTCTCTCTTGAGTAAAAGTTCAATGAAAGATTGGCATTTTCTGACTTTTCACAATTACCGAATAGTTGGTGCCTAAAATACATTTTTGACTTGCATCTTAAAAGATATAATTGTTGACACAAAACATATTTTCCATAAATAGCCTACTTAAAAATGAAGACGAAAAGTCAAACTACCAAGAAACATGGAATTCTGCTTTTCTCTTTTTCTTACTCATTTCTCCCTCAAGATCATGCTGTGGTCTTACTCCCATAGCCACTTTATGATGGAAAAATGAATAATTTGGAAAGACTTAGAGATTAAAATGTGGCTGTCACTTTTGCCTCTGAACAGCAAGCACCTGGACTGCATCTCTCCATCAGTGCTTGTCAGGATGGCTATAGAGCAGAATGATTAAAAACAGAAAAATTGGGGAATAAAATGCATGCAGTTCTTCAGAGAGTTACAGAGGCTTCAAATTGTCAGTTCAGGTTTTCAGGATTTGAAGTTCTTCTAGCATCTGGTTATGAAGACTGATCTGTATTTTTCTTTTCTATTTCTTTTTATTCCCCCCTCAATTTAGTGTTCACAAAAGGAGACTGATAGCTCTTGTTAGACCTAAGTGTGGAGCTGAATAATAGCATCCTGGTTTTGTCTCCTATTTTTTCACCTCACCTGTATTTTTTTCCCTTGGTATCTTACCTTATCTGTTGACACAAAGTTTGGTTTTTAAAAAGAAAAGTGGTTAATACTGGAAACTCTATCATCTCTTTATATTTAATGTCATAGTTAGCATTGAAGAATTTTGAAGATCTTTTGTTCCATAAATGTCTACCTTATCTAGTTTAAAAATGTTTCTCCAAGGGTAAAACACATTTATTTTAAATGCAGAGGATTCCTATTTTCAGTGGATGCCGAATACCATCATTTTAGGAAATTCTTCATAAGGAAACAATTCATGCTTTCAAAAAATAATAGTTTCACCATAACTATTTCAGATTTCTTATTCATATATGTATTAGAAAGCATGACCTCTGCATTCCTCTGATACATTCTAAAGATGGACCTAAGTGCTTCAGGTAGCAGGCATGGACAAGCATGCCTGTTCATGTAGCTTCTAACAGGCACAGCAAAGCACTATGCAGAGTGCTCAAGAGGACAGCTTGGTAGCCTTATGAACTCGACTGCCTGGGTTCTACCCTCAGCCCTGATGCTAACTTACGTGACCTTGGGAAAGTCAAGTAACCATTTTGTGCCTGTGGACAGATAAAGGAAGAGATATGTAGTAATAAACCTGATCTTATAGGTTTTTTTCCTCAGGATTCAATGAATTGATGTATATAAAATATGTAGAAAAGTACGTGCACATGCATATGATGAGAAAGGGAGGAGCAGCAGTGGCGCCATCTGTATACACAGCAATTTCTAACTTCCAGTTAGCCTTTGATTTTAGGCATGTCGTACAGGCTGTAGCTGACAACAGATGTACCCAGCTATAGCATCCATATCACTTCAGTGTAGTCTTTCAATAGGTCACCTTTGGAGTCCTTTACCTGTACTAAAGTAAATTCCAAAAATGTTTTTCTTCCCTGATGTAAACATTAAAATTTGAATAGAAAGAATGAATTGCCTCTCCAACCAGTCTAATGACCATACACACCAGCTCCTATCTATTAAACAGCTTATGGCCTGAGAGTTACCCATTCCTATGGTCCCAATTTTGTTTCTGCTGAATGGCACCTAGTAACCCATTCACAATAAAATGACTTCTATAGCAGAGAGGGTGTCATGCTGTGTACTGACATTTCTGAGTCAGAGCCAGGAGAGCACACCTGAATGGCCTAAGCAGACCAATGCAATCCAACATAATTTTGTTAAAGTTTTTCATTGCTTCCCAAATGAATTGGAATGTCAAGATTTCCTGTCACAACTCTGTTATTAGAAATCTCAAAGGTAGTATCTGTGCCTGCCTTATCCGACCTCTGGCCCTTTTCATTGTGTTTTCTTTCTTCTACTTATAAAAATAAAGCTAATCAAGGGTTATAGCGATGGTAATGCTACAGGATTAAATATCCCCAAGCCTTTATTTCTAGCTTAGAATGAGTTTGTATTCACCTTTTTAAAGAGATTGGTCATTTGTTTGCCATTAGAATTTGCATAATTATATTCTGCATTTACATTTATTTTATGCATCATGCATGTGGCACTTTTTGTTTAAGACCTCCCAATGGCTCCCACTTGTCTACTGAGAAAGGTACAAACTCTTGAACACCTGTCATGTGAGACTCTTGGGGCTTGGCCTCTGCTCTGAGCCTGCAGTCTTGTTTCCCATTTCCAAATTTCACGTGTAATCTGATTCTCTGGCCAAATAGGTTTTCAGTAGTTTCCCCTTTCT